GAGAGTAGTGTGTAATCAATGTATACTGTGTTTAAATATGTGTGGAGCGCCGTTTCAGTCTAATAGGCTTTATAGATTTATTTATTTTATTGAAAATAAACTGCATGGCTCGACCACCGGAGGGACAGACAAAGCAAATATAAAAAAATGTAAACTAGCTTTTACCAAAGTCGTCACAGGCCATGTTCTTTGTTGCCATGCTGCTATTGTACGCACTGCGGCCTGCTCTGAAATGATTGAAAACTCTGCAATAACAACCATGTGGAGCGAATATTGTGAATGTTTGTTTTTTCTAAAAACCTCAAAAAGCCATTTGCAATGCAGTGTCCTTCTGCAATACTTCACCTTAATTGTTTACTACTCTGCACAATTGTTCAAATTCACCCCAAAACTGTTATAAAAAAAAGAAATCCAATAACGTTTATAGTAAGAAAAGCTGGGATTTATGAAGTATGCACAAACTACTTTCATTTGTAATAAATAAATGTTTTGGTATTTACAGTTCAGCACAATTCAGATGCAACTGTGGATTTGACAAATGTTAGGGATTCTAAAAACAGAACTCAGATTTGAAATATTCATGAAATATAAAGTGTAACCAAGCCAGTGAACTGCTAAGCGGAAGCTGAGGAATCTGAAAACAAGAGATAAATACAAGAGAACAACGACAACTTTGCTCATGAAAGGAGAAAGACGTCAAAGGGCTGAGAAAGTAGGAAAGCTCGATAGAAGAGAAAAAAAAAAAAGAAAAAAAAAAAAGTATGGAGTTGTTAACTTGGCTGGGAGACGCACAAATGAGGGGAAGACTAGTTTGACGTGACAATACATGCACTGTAAAGACACGTTCACAAATACACCCCGCCACAGGTTAACTAACACACACACACACACACACACACACACACACACACACACACACACACACACACACACACACACAATCACACACACACACACACAATCACACACACACACACACACAATTCCAGATGAGGTGTCAAGATAAACAGTGATGAAACCACAAGGCCTTAAGCACAGCCCCCAGTGTCATAACTTCTGAAGACACACACACACACACACTGAAGAGTATCACACACACACGCGCACACACGTAGTTCCAGGAATCCAAATGAACCATCTGATGTTCTGCAGCGGGGGATTACGCGCCTGCTCCCGAGCTCATTAGTTATTCCGTCATTAGTTGGTTTCACGTGACAAACCATCAACCTCGGTGATGCGCCATCCGCACGAGACAGATGCTCCCTGACCCGCAGTGACATGAAGCAATTGTCAAATGATTTGGCGAGGAGACAAAGGTGCCACCCAGGGCCTCTCTGTGTGGAGTCTGCACGTTCTCCCCCGTGCCTGCGTGGGTCCTCTCCGGCTTCTCCGGCTTCCTGCCACATTCCCGAAGACATGCTTTAGGGATTAGGCTAATTGGTGACTCTAAATGACTGTGTGTGAATGTGAGAATTAATGGTTGTTTGTTTGATTGACGGGCGACCAATCCAAGGTGTACCCTGGTCTCTAGCTCCATGTTGGCTGGGATTGACTCCCGCCCCCCTGCGACCCGGTATGAAGGACAAGGCTTGGAAGAGCACTCACTCACTGACCGACAAAATGGGTGTCGTGTAAGAGCTTTTTTTTTTGATGATAGCCGAGATCACAACTGTCGATGGCAGACTTCATCAAGCAAAAGGCCATTTGCAGAAGTATTCGGCATTCGGCTCCAAAATGCAATTGGTCCTTGGCCCATGCGACACCCAGAAAATCCAGGTGGTGGCGTTTCCCTCAAACACGTTAAACAGGCAAACAAACTACTGTGAAAACGTCCCCGCCGGATGTGGTAGGAGAACAGCCTCCGCTCTTTAAATTCAGACTCTCGAATGGCCCCACGCACATTACTTCAGGCGTGGGCTTCTGTTGCTAAGAGCATGACAAGCTTAGCAATTAAGGGTAGGCAGAAATGAATTTATTTGGGCAGAGAATTTAGTTTTTTGTTGGGATCTCAGTGTCGAGAACAAGCTGATTTCTTACGTCTTAAGTCATCGTAGTCGGTTACCGGAAGAACAGCTACAGAACCCCGATGCGTCTGTTCAAACGAACCCAAATGTGCCGCGCGTCAAACCACGAGCCGCGTCGTAAATTCAACCGGGATTGAAGACTCCGAACACGACACGGCCTCTACGCGCCATCTTGACTTTCTATGTCACACTCTTTTCATCTTGATAGCCCTTTTATCCATTTCCCCCCACATCCATCCATCTATATCTACCCTCCTGCCACATATGCCCTCACTTATTCCTGCCCATCACTCTTCCCCCCCCCCCCCTTTCTTTCTCGCTCTTTTTTGTGACATTTTAATCCTCATGACTCATCCTGTGTGCACGCGCACCCACGGTCGCACAAACACACACACACACACACAAACACACACACACACACACAGGAGATAAACAAAAGCTTTTCTGAAATGCCAAACATAATTCCACACAACAGAGGAGCGCAGCAAGTCGTCAAGTGTCAACCAAGTCATTCAAACTTCAGTTGTTGCTTTCTGGCTTTCACTGGAATTTAAAAGGTTGCGCTGTACTTAACGTTCCGAGGAATTACAACGCCCATCGCCGTGCCGCACTCAAAAGATGACACGGAAAGCACCGTGTTATCGGTTTCAGATTTACCGCCGCCCCATTTTCTTCTCTGGGAGAAAGAAGAAATAGCCTTGTAGGATGTCCGCGTTACATCTCTGTGAGCGCACACCGAAAGCATTTACAGTCCTTGGATTTGTTGCTCTGCTGCGATGGGTTTGTACGTCACCGGTGGGAAGCCGCTCTCCCGAGGCCACCGATCGCAGAGAAACGTCAGGCCGCAATTCTTGTTCTGGACATTTTCATTGTGTTCATGTGGAAGGAGACACGCAATGCAGAGACAGTACTGGTTCCTCAAGGCTCAATTCAGACCAGCTCTGTGCGCCGATTCATACACAAGATATCAGATAAATGAAATGAGTTAAGACAGATAACTGAATGGGAATTGGGGACATCACCTCTCAAACTAGAATTTTAAAAAGTCGACATATTAGTTCTGGTCTGTTACACGATTCAAAGCCCGAGTGGTTTTCACCGCAGAAAGCTCATCACGCACAGGCTTTAATTTAGGATGCTAGATGGCTCCAGTTAACTAGCTGACAAAACAGGAAAACCCAAAATGCAAATGTGTATAGGCAAGGATTTTAGCAAGGACAGAGTTTTTTGTTTTCTTTTTAACACTGGAACAATAAACGATAGAGCTGCCACGGTCCCCGCCTGACGCCGGCAATCTGTAATTGAAGCGCTTGTGACGGTAAAACTGTTCAAGGTTCACCGTTGGCATTAATGCGCTACAAAGCTTTGGCATCAGATCACTCTTGCAGAATAAAAAAAAGACTCCATTCAAAGTCTGATGCACTCATATGCACCAAGACCTTGTCTGCTGCACGACGCCCTCATTAGCCTTTTAGTTCTTAACAAAAAAACATCCAGTTTTTGCTCAGAAACACTTTTGTACAGATATTTCAATCGCCGACACTTGTGTGCGTTTACATAACCTATAGAGGCGAGGACAGCGTCCACGACCAGGTCCTCGCTAACGTCAAACACTTTCGCTCCATCAGAAAGAAGAACCCTGCCCATTGCATCTGTGTTGGTAGTTTTGCAAAGTGCACTCCAGGTCAGATGAGAAATTAGAGTTGGAAGAACCAATTTCATCTCATCGTGAGGAATCGCTACGAGCAACAGGAATCCCTTTGTTCTGGCACTTTGTTGATGCATTTATCTACAAACAGTTTGTATTAACCACTGCTGACATTCTCCGAGTATTCACTCCAGCACAGCAGAAGAACACTACTCTGCTACACTGCTATGGGATTCACAAAGAAAAGCTTTTTTTTTTTTTTTTTTTAAGTCATCAATGAAACTTCAGGTTTGGCTTAGATCACACTGAGGTGGATTAATGACTGGAATGTTGCACTTTAGCTGTAGCTGTAGTAGTTGTCCCAACAAAAACACAATTGACCGCAAGACAGCTTTACCTTGGAAGGAAATGGTTAATCATCTACGGAGTTGCAGTTTATTGCAAACAAAAAAAACCCCATCTCATGGCTACCTAATGCACTGTTCTCTTTGTAGCTTGAATAATACCCAGAAGATGTAGCACCTTGAGTCGCTGAGCTGAAATAAGTCAAATGTTCTTGTTCAGCTCCATGCACGTGTTACTTCAGTGATCAAGATAAACCGTTCATTCCAATTCAAGTGCGGGGTTAAAATATCCAGGATGCAAAGGAAGTGTAAGAAGAAAGGAGAAATCTGAATGATAGCCATAAGAGACATCTAATGTGTCAGTTCTGTGCTTGTTTCTTGTCTAACCCAACCATCCACTGGCAGCCTAAACAAAGTAGAACACCACAGAGTACTTTAACATTAACTTTTATAAACTGTAGCACGGCTGGTTGGTGTCATCTCACTGACAAATTAGCCAAACGCACACGAAACCAAATAAGCCAAGAAGGATGTCGGCACAGCGCCGACTGAGTTTAGTCTGTTTGTGCCATACTAACCCATAAATACAGACCATTTGTGAGACAAGAGCTGAAAATAAGCCCATTAAAAAGGTGTCTTGACAGGTGTTTATGACATTGTTATCTTAGTGCACATGAACGGTACACGAACAACCCATGCAGCTCATTATATTTAATAACACGTCTTGTCAGTTGCTGCTGATGTTACTCTCTTGCATCAACAAACGTTTGCACCTGATGATAAAACCAGAGGCCTCTGACTATTCGCAGAGATGTCTGTGGTAATACAAGGCAGTTTGAACTGTGTTCTTCAGCCCATTCACAGCAGAACAATACAACGGGAGCACCAAAGGAGCATGTCGCGCATCACTCGTTTCTCCAGGAGCCAACCATCAACAGCTCCTTCTGATTCCTTTGCTTCGACACAGAGGCTTTAGTGTCCTACCTTGACCCCTCGCACCCTGAACTCGGCCAGGGCTCGGCTCATCTTGGAAGCCGCCGTGTTCAGGTCCTTCCCGCTGGCGATGACTTTCACCAGCAGGGAGTCGTAGTGGGGTGAGATGACAGCGCCCTGGTAGGCCGAGGCACTGTCCAGGCGGATGCCCATGCCCTCACCGCTCCGGAAGACCTGCAAGGGAGGCAGCAGAGGAAGGGGGATGGTTATGGAACATGTGTGAAAATAAAAGCCTGAAAACATACATTCAAAATAAGAGTCTTAAGTAAGATTCTCAACGGAAGGCCTGCAAGTTTCAATAATTGTTAAATAACAAAAAAGGAAAAAATAATTATGAGAGGAAAAGCAGTGGAGTGGAAAAACACTCGTCAATTTGATGTGGCCTAAGATACCAGTACAACTGGGAGTGGTGTGGACCGTAGCTGCTGATGGGCAGGGAATCAGTGGTCGGAAGACTAGAAAAGCGCAATACAAGTACGGTTTACATGCAGCCATTCAGTGCGTGCTGGTGGCTTATGTTTCTACGTAGGTCTTTATCATCACCCACCACCTGGTCATCGCAAGATAAAAACACCAAAAGCCACCTCCAATTAAATGCTGCGTTCTTCTCAAAACGTGCAAGACGCAGTCAGATGGTTCTCTGAGACTCTCAGTTCCATATTTCTATGCTATGGTGCAAGATTTGACGCTCCCTACCAACTCTAATATCCCAAGATCATTCAACGATTTCTTTTCTAATGGCCAGTCAGTCGATTGTAATGTGGATGTAAAACATTTGTGTTGGAAGGCGAGGACGCAAGCAAAGAATCGGCCCACGCTCGGAACGCGATGGCAGACGGACATGAGTGAAGAGCGAAGGAGAGGAGACCGCTCCAAATCACTTGGCAGGAGAGCAGAGAGAGGGAGGAGATGATTGTCCAACACTAAAACATATGGAGTCCCCTGAGGGCTGCAAGAGGATGAGAAGTAGAAATCATAATTGGAACAATGTTGTGCCACACTGGTGAAATGCTGGTGATATTTTGTAGATATTCTGAGCCGCCAACCATTATTACCAATGGTATTATTACAGTACTTTTTTTTTTCCTTTTTACAACTCACCATTTAACCTTAACGTTTTATGCCTCTTTGTTCATCCCCGATGGCTCGGAGAGAATTCGGTATCATTGTCTTCAAAGAAAAATGCTGCAACATGTATGAAGACGAACGGCTGACTGAACAGCAGCCAAAGCGAATCCACAACACACAAATAACGTAAAGCCGCAGCTAAACTTACATTAAACACCTGAAAAGGATTCAGCGGGATGTAACCATTTAGGCATTAATATACCTGAACATGAAAGATGCTAGATGACTGCTATGACTGGATGTAAATATATCTTTCAATTTAGACTTAATATTTAAAATATTCATAGAAATGTCCTTCACCGGGGAGGAGTTTAACATAAAATGGAGGCAGAGTTGAAAGAGATTGCCCACATTAAGCTGTAAATGATTGAGATGCTGAGGCAGAGGAAATTGCCGTGAGTATGACTGCCCACGCACAACGCACAACGCCTCGACACCGCCGCACTGCACTGCTTCAAGGTTCACAGCCACAACTCTCGGCTTGGCACTCCACTTTGATCTTTAAGACTTGAGATCGGTCATCGGATTTTGATGTTCCACACTGGCGCCAATCGTAAGTGACACAAGAGGGTGGAGCCAAACACTGTCTAAGACGGATTTAGTCCACGCCAAAAAGCACCGCGTGCTTTATGGGCTTGTTTTTCCTTAATTGGACGATCATTTAAAAATGAACATCATACCCAAGTGACAAAACTTATTTTCAAGCAGCTGGAGGAGTCACCCTCTGCTGGCCATTAAAAATAACACAAATTAAAAGGCACTTCCTTATTCGCTTCTCTTTTTGGACCTGGAGATTGCCGCCTGCGTGCAACAAAGTGGCCTTGCCCAGAATCGAAGCCAGGAAGAAAATATGACACCCACTAAAACCACTCGGCTATTCAGACGCTTTACGCAATTTCTGGTAATATAAGTAAATAACGCTGCTTATAACATTAAAAGCCGCTCTGAAGGCTTTTGTTTATAAATGAAAAGAGTAGTTGTGGCACTCATATCTGAGGCATGTGATTCTTTCAAAGATTGCCTTTGTGATACTGGAGTTTATTATTTAACACGCTTCAAGAGCTGTGCCTGCACAAAATAACATTTTCTATTTCGTATCGAGTGCTTCGGTTTAGGTGGTGACGATTGTTCAAAATATACTTGTCGCATTCTTGAATGGAATCACTCTCCACAGGAGGGTAATTTGCACACCACTTACAGAGTGAAAAATATTGTTCATGCATTTAATGTGGTATATTTAACTTGCTGACATCGTACATTTTGTAAATTTTAATTCTGAACAAATGACAGAAATTATATATCTATATATCCGCATATCTCCAAAGGCCCACAGGAACTTTGTGTTTTTATATATTCTTTCATATTTTCTTACAACCGTTCTCCGTCTGCAGTTAACGCAGCGGTGCTTAATATGTGTTTATCAAGCTGCTGGATGGGGGAAAGGAGGGAGGGGGGGGGCTACACGGTAAAAAGACCAACCATTGCTCACATGGAGACGGATGGTGCTCCTCGCTCTGACTCACTCGGGCTTTACAGCCACACAAGTCGACGGAGCGGCAGGTATCACACAGTTTAGCACTTTTAGGCCAACACTTTCATCAACAACACCTTGCAGTGGTAAAAGCGGGAAGATGGTGGCTTAGTGAGTCGTTCGAAGGCACTTCTGTTCCCACAAAACCAGCTGGAGTTTTTAAAAATTAAATTATTAGAGCCAACAGTGTTGAGATTCACATCTGGGAGCTCCGTGCCAACTGGGGGAGTGTTGCCGATCCGAGTCAGCCGAAATGAATTAAAATTCAGATTGTTTCTTTAAAGCCCAGCAGGGAGATTGTGCTTCTTACGCTGTCAGTTGTGATTACTTCCAAAAAGACAAGACAGCTGAACAATTTTAAAGACAGCTGTTCGCAAACAAGCGTGTCAGATTTGGATTCTCAGCGGCTGATCGTTTCGTGGCCATTTATGACGACATAAAACAAAACTGCAGAGGGCTTGTAATCTGGCGGAGGTCCTACGGCAAGGCCAGATGGCCGGTGAAAAGGGCAGCTACATTTTGTGTCCTGTTCATTATTACCATAATGGTAATTTAAAAAAAAAAAAAAAAAAGAAAGAAAGAATTGAAATGGAACAGAGAGTCAACGGGTAAGATGTAACCAATCCCCACTTCGCCGTCAGAGGTGTACTGTGTCTGTATGGTTGAGGGAGCAAATAAAAAAGTAATACATTAACCATCACAATGGCATTAAGTGAGTAAATGTGATAAGACGAGTTTGAGTGCTCCCACAATGCGTGTATGCATCTGTATGAAAGGCCGAGGAGACGCAGTGAAATGTTACAATATTGCAGCACACTATTTAAAGAGCTGCGCGTGCACACATGAGCCTGCAGGCAGACAACAACTTGCCCTGTAATATTGGCTGAAATTATTCCTCCTCAGATTTTTCAGCGGGAAACAATCCTCTCGGGGGGAACTAATCAAACGTGCACCAAGACAGATGTTTGCAGTCACACGCTGCTGCACAAACCTATAGAAATGGGCTGTGTGTTCAAACTGAAATGCGAAACGGAGCCTCGGTTATTGGACGCACTCTCGTTGAGTTTGTTAAGCAGGAAAAAAAAACACTAATAAAAACATATTAAAAGTGAGGGCTTGCAGTGTTTCCTGCATGGGCTTAGTGGTTGTAGTTAAATTGAAACTCACTCAATGCACCGCGTAGGAACACTTCCGACATTTAAATCTGTTGAACTAAATAGGTTTTTACACTCGAGTACGAGCGCAAGTCCATATTTACTTTTCCCGTCTGTGTTTTAACGAGGGACAATGCACATTTATTCCGCGTGCCTTTGTGAATAATAGGCATATTAATTGTGGCCTCGGGTCGTTAAGATAGAGGAGAGAAATGGTGCCACAACACCACCAGAGGAGAAAGTGCCACAAAGATCTGCTCACCAGATGTGGAGAGACACACACTGCATAGGCCGAATTAAACAAAAAAAATTAATAATTGAAGTCAAGGTGTCTGCTTCGTTCAAGCCGAGGGAGGTGTCCAGCATGCAAACCTATCTCTCTTCTCTCACTCGGGCTCGGTGTCGTCCTCGCTCACGCTCTCCGGATACGAATAATTTATAAGGCCAGTGAAATGGTCTCGGTAATGTCCTCACTATCCCATTTGATCCGGAGACACACACCAAGTACCCAAGCTTCCCAGCTCTTTACTAGCCAAGTGAAAATAACTTCCACGACACTTTAATGTGCCACAGTTGACTTTTGGCTCGTCCATTTCTCACATTGTCAGTTTATTGTAGGTCATTCTTTTGTCTTCCCGCTTTTTACTTTATTCACCCGTCACCATCTCGCTGTCTAAAACCTGCCTCCATTGCTCAGAACCATTTCCCTCAGAAGGTCAGTGGTGTATTTCTCTGGCACTGCATGGCAGTGCATTGGGCTGCCACGGGCACAATGCAGAGTCTCTCCTGCTCAGCCGGCTGTTGGTTTTCAAAAAGGAAATGAAAAGAAATATATATTTTTGTTTACAGGAATTGAGATAACAGAACATTTCCCCACTGACGCACATGTATTTTTCTGGATGGCTTTTTGAAATATCAAAACGTATTGTGTGAGTGAGAAACTAAAAGGAAACGCCAAAAGCAGGAAATGTGAAGTTACAAGATTAACAGATGATACTGACTGTATAATTTCATTATGCTGTATTCAGGAAGAGGTGCTCAACACCTGAGCTACTTTAATGACAAAATTACTTCCATTTTACCACATTTTAGCAACTACAATAACCGTTGCATAGAATACTGCCACAAATAGGCCAGAAAACATGATGTTATGGCTAGAAAGTAAACAAGCAAAGTCCTCCAGCCGTCATTAGCATTCATTTGGAGTCATGATGAAGGAAGGCGTCTGAGTTGGATTGTAAATCTCTGTGCGTTTCGTCACAATGAGAGACCTCCTTCTATCAACTGTCATTATGTAAATTCTGATTGGTGCAACTTTAAGGTGAGTGAATTACCTTGTCGAAGTACGGCATCGACTGGAT